TTTCACTTACTCTACAGCATAACTGCTCTCTTGAATAATGGGATTCTTATTTAAGGAATTCTGGTACTATTTTTAGTAATCTGTCGTAATTCATGGTTTTCCTGAATTCACTGCTTATCAACAGTCACTAGACTTCCCCATCAGTTATGATACATAAGCTTTATATGAATTCACCAGTTATGGGCAGCTACAGTTGAAATGCCAGAAATACCTGTCTTTTCTGTGACAAAAGGACAGAACGCACATGCATGTCTTCAGCCTGCTCCAGTAACCGTGGCTTTCTGGTAGACTGCAAAAGAATTCCAGGTCAATCCAAGCATCTTAGGGAAAAGGTGTCTTCTGTGCAAGGATATATAACTGTTCAGTACAGGTTTGAAATACTCTCAGTTACTTGGATTGGTTTTTTGCAGCAGCAAATGAAACAGGGTGGTAAGTCTTGAAGTTCTTGTGAAGAAATCTTCAGATTTCAGATTTGTGCAGTATCAAAGGTTCATCACCCCCACAAAACTAACAAAAAGCACAGAGGAAGAGAACAGTGGTGCTGATGAAACCTGACCTTTTTTATGATCTGTGTTCAGCCTCCCTTTTCCTTCACTATTTAAAGCTCACCCCTGGCATGTTCTCGTGGCCCTCCTTTCCTGTGTGTGCACCTGAAGGATGTTTTGGGCAGCTGAAAGCAGCAGTTGTTGGTTCCTTGGGCAGGGTGTGTTGGGATCAGCCCCCAGCAGGTACAGCTGGTGACTTCACAGGGAGGCCTTGGCATTCATTTGTATCTTTTTCTCTTTATTCATATTTTTATTTTATTCATTAAAATATACAGGCATTTAATATCTTCTCCTGAATGCATTGAACTCTACTAACATTTCCAAATATTTGGGGAAGAAAAAAGGTGGGACAGAAGAGGTGGTCAGGTCTGTTCCTCAGAGACCAAAGAGAAATTGTCAGTGGGAGCTTTTCAGGAGAGGTTGATGCTGCAGGTTTGCCCTGCCAGTGCAGAACTGGTTTCTGGGGAAGGCTGCTCTCTGCTCTGGGTGCACTGGGTTGTGCTGAATTACAGGGCAGCGTCTCTCTTAAGAAGAAAATCCTCCTTGAGAAAATCTGTGAGCACAAATTGCTGACTGAGAGCATTTTCCCTTAAATCCATTTGAGGAGTAACTTTATCTCCTACTGTTATTAGGTTGGAGGAACCAATGGTAAGAATATATCTTCCAGTCTGACAGATCAACCTATTGCCGTATGTAAATCTTTAAATAAACTTCAGTTCCAAGTTCTGTCATCTTATCTTGCCTATGATAGTGATAAATTGGCCCCTATTTTTTTAACAAATTGTTTTCTTGGAACTATCAAATTGCTGGATCTGAGAACTCTGTTGCCAAATTTCTTTATGTGAGTTGCTAAGATTAAATATTTTCTTGGAAATAAATAGCTTTCCCTACTTACTAAGATTGCTCGTGTGCAAGACACCTGAGATCTTTTAATAATTCCTTGTGGTTACACCAAATCTTTTGCTCTCTGGAGCTAGTGAAGGAGAGAGTCTGCATCACGTGCAGCCCTTGGGTCCCCACAAACCTGCAGAATTGGAAAACAGAAGTAGTGGCCATAGTATCACATKATTTGATGTTGTTTCTTTCTTCTTCTGGGACGCTGCTACGGAAACTTGTTGGGGTGATGCATGAACAACTGGGTTGCAAGTGCTTAGCAGTGAGATGTCAGCTGCTGACCTAACAAAATGCCTTGAAATGCAGCACAATCAACTAACATTCTGCAATGCCTGATTCTGTAGCACCTTTGGTACCGGAATAAGTACGGATGCAGAGGTAGGTGGGGGAAAGTTGGGCTTCTTTGGGAGACACTTAGCAAATTTTGGGTCATACAGCAAGATTACAACAGTGTAGACAGAGAAGTAATAATTGTAGAAATTCCTGTGTGATTTTTTTTTTTTAAATTTCATACTGTATAGTTGGCTTTTGAATTTAAGACTAATTTAGAGTTGTATGTTGATTGTTAACACTTGGCAGCATCCTATGCTGATGAGTTCCCTGTCAGTGCAGAATAAATGACATTTAGAGAAAAAAACCCTTGCAAGGCAGTGGTATTAGTGTCCTCATTGCTGGCTACTGCAAGAGCTGATGATAAATTTGACTGCAATGTCTGTGTTATTTGTTTCCCCCCTTCTCTCTGGCTGCTCGTAGCTGCCTGGGAATGGATTTCCCCTGGGAAAGCTGCCTCTGATTGTCATGTGCAACTGTATTGCTGACCTTGCCTTTTGCAAGTGTGCTAGAGCTGGCAGTGGATGGAGGTTCTGGTGAAAATGGCCTGTTCATGACATTCTGCAGTGTTTCTCTGTTGGGCTGACTCCTGTCAACTTGTTTTGTAGGATGTCTTCTTAATCTGCTTTTCCCTTGTGAGCCCAGCTTCCTTTGAAAATGTCCGTGCTAAGGTAAGGAYGAGCTGGTACCATTTTATTTCTGAATATCATACTGTTCATATTACAGTGGAGCTTGGAAAATATTAGGTGCTTTTTTAAATGGTTTTTCCCACAGGCCATGTGAAATGCAGTTTGAAAAAGCAGAAATCCATTTGCCTAACTTGTGAGTCATGGAAGTTCAGGGCACATGACACACTTAAGAACGAATTGTTCCTTGATGCATTGATAACAGTGATTCAAGAGTGTTCAACCAGCAAGGTGCTGAGACCACAAACAGATTTCTTTTTAGTACTATTTGGAAAAAAAAAAAGTTTTAAACCAAATGCATGTAAAAACCAGGGTGTTAGCACTTGTTCTGTGCACCAGCCATCCTTCTGCACGTGCTCTGTGACTGTTGACTCTGTATTTCATGTCCTCAGACAACTCAAGGAGGTGTCTCCAGGGCCAAGGGGGAGGTCAGGGSTCTTGTGGTGTGTGAGGAAAATACAGCCCTTAATGGGCACCGTTTTTAAAGGATATGGAAATAGCTCTTGGCTTTTTTACAGTGATGTTCCCCTTTCTAATCCTGCCCTGATGGGATCTYAGGGCTCCCCTCTGCTCCAGCTGASCCCAAGTGAAGGRCTGGAGCCTTCAGCTGTGATRTTCCAGGGCCTTCAGGAAATGTGCCCCACACAAGAGACACCATTTTCAATTTGTCTTTTCCAGTGGTACCCCGAGGTGCGGCACCACTGTCCCAACACCCCCATCATTCTCGTGGGCACCAARCTGGACCTGCGGGATGACAAGGACACCATTGAGAAGCTGAAGGAGAAGAAGCTGACTCCCATCACCTACCCCCAGGGCCTTGCCATGGCAAAAGAGATCGGTACGAGGSGTTTTGGGGCTGGCTGGGGTTGTGTTTGTGGAAGAGTTGTGCTGTAATTAATGTCAATGCCTGCTCGGTGCTGTGGAACTGCTCTGTAACTGCTCTGCCTCCCCCAGGCGCAGTGAAATACCTGGAATGCTCGGCACTGACGCAGCGAGGCCTCAAGACAGTGTTTGATGAAGCCATCCGAGCAGTGCTGTGCCCCCCTCCCGTAAAGAAGAGGAAGAGAAAATGTCTGCTGCTGTAAACGTCACCCTCCCCCAGCCCATCAACCCTGTGCTTTGCTCAAACAATGGAGCATTCACATGCCAAGTTTTTTCTGTTATAAATTAGTTCTCTTCCATCAAATCTTGAACCAATTGACAGTTTCATGGTTTCATTTGTTTAAAGTATGATCCTTACCTTGCATTCTTCTAAGAGCAAACTCCTGGAAAGACACACCTATGTAAAGCCTTATTTTTAAAATCCTCTTCTTGCTCAATTAAGTGTTGCCAAACTATCTGCTGACCTAAGTCGCATTGTTGTGCTACAAACACTAAGCACTAAACTGTTTTTTAAAGATTCTTCTTGAAAATGACTCTAATTTCTGGTAGAAAATGCAAAATCTCTTTCTAGTTTTTCACAGTAAGTACCAGTACCGGGGAATTAGCAGAACACTGCGCTCTAATGGGTTTTATTCTGAACTGTTTTCCCAGTGCAGCTGTTGCCGGGTGCTGCATCCAACAGCCCTCTCTGGCAATGACTGACACCCTGAGTACAGTGGAAATGCTTTATCATTGGTAAGGGCTTGGTTGCAATCTAGTTCTTGCTGCTGTGATTGAAAAAATTAACTGAAGTGTATCTAGTCCTTTTGCCAGCATTGTATTGTGATGAATAGATGGAGTATTGGGTTGGAGCAGGAGATAGTGCCAGACAGTATTTGACACTGTACAGCTGACTTACACTACACTGCCAGAGTAGCTCAGCAACCATTTTCCCAGAGGTGCAGTAGTGGAGAGAGGTTGGTGTTTTGGAAAAATTCCTTTGACTTTCAAGTAGGGCATTCATGTAGGTACAATTCTCAATCAGTCATTCCCACTTTTATGTAGTAAATGCTTTTCTTGTAGAATTTCTTCTTAGTGAGCAATATAACTTGTATTTTGAAATCTTCTGATTGATAGAAGTTTGCTTTTTTTTTTTTGCTTTTTTTTTTTTAGAGTAGAACGTTCAAACATATCCACCTTATTTTCCTGTTATTTCTGACCCAGTAAGTTATGCTTTCTGAGCTTTTAGTCTATTAACTAGGTGTAAAAATCATGTGAAGCAGCTTTACACATTTTAGTAATTTTTATATTTGAAACCTCTGTAACTGACAAACCTTCTCAAATATCACTATTTGCAAGATCCCCCCACTGTAACATGACTAATGCAGCCAAGTGTTCTTTCTGTCACTCCATGTGCAGCATCGATTGCGTAACGGTAACTTGGGTCTGTGAGGTTCTGTACTTAGTGCTAATGTTCTGTACCTTCTAAACTGGCAGGAATATGATGTTGAACTACACCCTTTCAACCACTAAAGCAAAATTTAAAAAGTTGCAAAATTGTGACGTTTTTACATTGATCTTTTGCTAATGCAATTGGCAGTATGTTTTGCATGTATGACTTAATAAATCCTTGAATCACAAGTGTGGTRCTGTTTGAGTTTCTGAGCGTCTGTGAGCAGCCGTTCTTGTTCCATGCCCCGTGTTCCTGCCTGTGCAGTGCTGAGAGCAGCTGACAGTGGGGGCAGGTTCTGTGTTCCACTCCTCTCTGTGCAAACAGAAGTGTTCTTTCCTCTGAACCTGTTACAGTCTGTGCTTAAATGCCCCAGATTCCAGGCTTTTATTTAAAGCCTGCTCTGCRTGTTGGCCGCTCTCCTCTGGAGCTGCATCCAAGGCTGTGCCCCMGGACCCTGCAGGGCAGCTCTGACTGCAGCACTGGTACCTGGCACTGCACAGGAGCCAAAGGTTTATTTGTACCTTTAATTCTGTCTCCATACTGAGTATCACAGCGAGAACATCCACACAGGTAATTCTCAACCACATCATAKTTTACTTACATAATTTTTTAAAAATAAATGCTGCTGAGCCTTAAAAAGGAAAAAAAAGTTACACACTGGAAACAAGGACTCTGCTTTTTAAAAATCAGTACAAGTGGTTACACATTCTTGGCAGAATACGCGTGGTGCTCAGTAGCTGGAGCTAGGCCTGGTGACCAACATGATGCCAGGGCCTGGACAGTATTTTTTTCTCCTTGTTAAGTAGTTTTAGTTTAAAATCAATAAAAGCAGTGATGTAGATCAACACATACAAAAGACAGGTAGATGAAGGGATATTGCACATGTACATCCAAGCAGCCTTTCATCACAACAAGCCCTCCCCCACCCCGGGATCCCAGCCCAGTCTGGAAGAAAAGTAGTGCAATGGCTGAGATGAGCCTGGGGCTCACTGTCCCTGCAGCCCCTGTGCCTCCCCAGGGCCCCCTCGGCTCCACTGTCCCTGCAGCCCCTGTGCCTCCCCAGGGCCCCCTCGGCTCCACTGTCCCTGCAGCCCCTGTGCCTCCCCACAGCCCCTCTGCCCACCTGAACGGTCCTGGAAGCAGCAGTGGAGGTGCAGGGGGTGCTGAAGGGCTGGCAGGACTCTGCTCTGCTCTGTGGCTGTGCCATCCTCGCTCACATTCACTTTGGTCAAGCGTTCAGCTCTGGCTCTCCCGTGCCAGCGTGCCCAGGCTCGGCCGGAGCGGCTCATCCTGAGCTTTGTGGAGAAGCCCAACCTTCAGCACAGAGGCAGAGTCTGTGCTTCCAGCAGAACAACATTCCCCGAGGTCGCTGCACAGGCAAGGGCCTTGAGACCCTTGTTCRTTCTACGCAACGTGAGAAAAGTACTGAAATCCACTTAAGCAATGAAGTGGAATGTGTCCTGAATACCTGAAACCTGCAAAAAAGCCCCACAGGTCGTCCTCGAGCTGTGGTTATACTGCACTGGGGTTGTATTCTCGCGTTTGACAAGAAAGACATGATCCATGTTCCTGAGACAAACTGTTCAGAGCTTTCAGCACAACATCTGGCATGTGGTCTGTGATCATCTTGGGACTTATTAAAATGCTGCTGAAGACCGTTTCGTTCGACCATCTTGCCGTGTATTTAATATCTGAAGAACACAACCTAGGAAAAAAAACACACCACAAATACAATGGCTGTGTCAGAACCAGAACAGACAACCTGGAGACTCTGGACAGAGCTCAGGAGGAACTGGAGCCCTCTCACAGGAGCAGCTCTGCACCAAATTACACTCTGCATTAACAGGRAAATGAAGCCATCAAAGATTGAAATGATCCTCCCAAAAACACAGAACACAGCCTGAGCAAGGAGGGGGAGGGCGTTAAACACAGAACATTCACATGTTCATGACAGATTGAAGGAGTGAGTCACAGTGGGATCAATAGCAGAGCAGGCACTGCATTTAATGCTGCACACAGGATGCACCATTTTGTAAAATTAAATCCCAAATACATGACAGAGGCTCTTCTGTGCTAGTCCAGCTTAAAAAAAAACCAACAAAACCATGATTAACTGCTGTGCTKTGGAGTTAAAAACAGAAAAGAAATTAACTCAATATTAAGTAAAAGAGCAGCCATTAAGAAAACCTGCCAGGTCAGAGGTGTTTAAGTATCTAACTTGTAAAACCAGTGTTAAAATTGTTAGAAATTACAGGTGTGAAGCTTGAACAAAATASTGATCTACTGAATGGGAGGGAAAAAGTGGATTTATTCTCCAATCCTTTTCTTTCCTCTCTATAAGGGACAATTCCTCTTTTCTTCTRTAAGATACTCTTGTACAAGTTAGAAAATTTCTGTTTCAAAACACAGTGGAATGGTACCAAGGCCTGCCTGGCTTATGGGCTGTTTCAGGTTGCTTTGTCTAAAAAAGCCCAACATCAACAAAAAAACATACAAAAAAAAAAACCCTGAACACGGCACTGCCCTAACAAAGCCACAATCCTCACCCTTCCAGCAGTTTCAGCTTTCTGCTGTCTTTGKCAGCTTCCTGCATCCACAGAAAAGCAGAAACTGCAGCCTGGCAAGGCTGAACTCACCAATCTTAGTGTTTAAAGTCCTCACTTGAGCAGCTGCAATAAATGGGCAGATAAGGCATAAAGAGGAACGGTGCCAGGGCTTGCAGTGAAACAGAAAGAAGCTGGGAGGCACAGAATGGAAACTGAGAACTGGGCAATGTGCAACAAGCAGAACTGGGTACTGGAGATGCAGGTAAGTCCCAGAGCTGGAATGGCTACTTTGAAAGGGAGAATGTAAATGGACTTCAGGAAAACAGGACAGTGGTGTTCATTATCCCACTTACCTCCTAGAGCTGCATTCTTCAACGATGTGGATAATCTTTCCAGGCAGATACAGGTGAGGGTACTGAGGTGGTGAATTCAAGTGGGATTCCTCCTCGAGGGCGTTGTACGAAGGTGACCGATGAACCATCAGACTCTCCTCGGCCAGGAGGGGCTGCCTCAGGGCATCCTGGCTCCTTCCATCCAGCTCTGTGGGGAAGTCATCAGGATCCCCTCCAAACACCTCGTACCAACAGCCCCGCAGCAAAATCTGGTACTGAAATCACAGACAACAGCCCARCTGAAGTGTGCCATCTCYTCAAGTAACTTATTCTAGTTGTGTRTTCTAGTTCCTAGTTGTGTGCTTGCACACACATCACCTGAAAATAAAAATTACTTCATGCACATGGTCCCCAAATTTTGATAAAATCTCCTTGCTTACCTACTGGTACTAGTTACTGACTATTAAAATAAGATCTCTTACTGACTTTTCATAATTTTAGCTGTTTGGCTTTTTTCCCCATTTTTGTTTTTCAATATCTTCCTTTTATCAGCAAAACTAGCAAATAGATAATTTAGCCAGATAATGTCAGGTCTTTGATGTTGTAAACTGGTGTATTTGGAGTCTTACAGAATCCTGATTGCCAATGATATACAGCACGGGAGACTAACAAATGTCACTGAATAAAACAATTCTGTTCCAAAACAGAATGTTAACTCTCAGCTTTAAAATCAAAAATACACCCACCAGTAGTCACTGCATTAAAGCTGGGGYTTAACCCAGGYAAATTCCACTGACTTTTAACCAGGAAMTGCATTTAGTTACCTTGGGTCTGTTGCAATTTGCCACAATTCTCACAATTCTTCTCTTTAAATCCTCCATGTTGGGCATACTTAACCTGTTYAAACACACAGAACAAAGCAAATCAAAGCCTCCTATTGTCAGCTATCAAACACAACTCCAAATATCAGTATAAAAGTATTTCCATCTCACCTTGCAACAAGGTCTTTTCCAACAATGACTGACACAATAAAGTGCTTAGTGTAATCTGCAAGTGATTTGCTTGAAAACAAAAAAAAGAAAAAGGCAGTTTAGATGCACTAAAGACAAGAACACTTCACTTTTAGGATTTAGGCAGCTGCCCTGAWGATTTTTACAGCTCAGACACAAAACCAAGCAACAGAAATCTCTCACCTGAGGAGCCCTCCTGGGGGAGAGAAGGCGTAACACCTCAGMGTGGGGAAGGAGTTCCTGAGCATGATGGCCAAGATCGACGCTGTCCCACCACCCAAACTGTGACCAACTATCACAAGTTTGTATTCCTACAGACAGAAAGACCAATTTAGACACAAAAAAGCTGTGGGTAATTCTTCTGACAAACCAAGTTATTTGGAAGGTAACTTACTGGGGCAATTGTGAAAGCCTGGTTTAAAATTCCATCATTTATTAGTTTTCGATAGATGTAATTTGCWGCCTGAGTTATTCCCTACAAGAGARCAGTTCAGGTTAGAAGGGTGTATCTAATCTGAGATRTGACACATGTACAGTTTAAATACAACACCATCACAGAACAACTTTTCTTTTTGCAAAGCTGATCTTCTCTTTRACATGCACCTGACAGAGGTCTGGTTATAACCAAGAGGTCTCTATGTATTCTATGTATGGGWTAAAAATCTTTTGGGATATTTCATAAGGATATTAAGTCTGACAAGAGGATTACAAATTCTACCTTGCATTTCCAGAGGCAGTTTTTGATGCACCAAMACTGAAATAATTTGTGCAATCCATCTGACAAGGAGAACATTCTTCTGTTTAACTAAGGCTTCCAGGTGTTTATAGCTTGCTACTGCTGAGCTGATCTACAAACAGCTACAGGCTGCACACACCTTATGCACAAAGCCATTCTCCAGAACATCCTCCAGCGTCAGGTCCTCGCAGTCGGCTGAGAGATCAGTGAGAATGTCCTGGGAACAAAGACAGGCTGGGTCAGAGCTCCCTGCAGGGCTGTCAGCTCATGGGTCATGCTCTGAGGCCTGGCACAGGGACATCAGCAGCACAGAACAGCAGAGCAGARCACAGCACATCCCATCCCATCACCCAGCACCACCCCAGCAAACACAGCTCCAAGTCTGGCACTGTTTCCAACAGCACACACCCCATTAGGGATGCACCTCCACTCTCAGTGCCCCAGCATTACCAGTGCCTGTCCTCCACACCCTGCTCCAGCAGCACAGGGAGCATCACCCACCCAAGGGCAGGGAGCTTCCAGCTTAACCCTGGAACTCCTACCTGGGAGGGAATTATTTCACATGTGCCAGTGTAACACAATTTCCTCTAGGTACTGGGGGTTCACTCATTTCTATAAAGCCAATTATTGATATTAGATGGCTGTTACCTCAAAAGACAAGGTTCCTCTCACTGCAACCACAATAGCTTCTTTTTTGTGATCCAAAGCAACAAAAAAGGGAATTTCATAGATCTGGAGGAGAAAAACGTAATCAGTACATGAACTTTATAATGGTAAGCACTTGTCTTCACCTTCTGAAAGCTCTTCCTGAGCTCCATATTGTACTATGGAAATAAACCTGACTTGGTCCCTTATCTGGTTAGTCTAAGGGCCTTTTTAAAAATAGATATAGATTTAYATAAACGGATTTGTGGCTGTTCTGTTAGATTAAAAAAAAATCATAATTGAATGTTTTGATTTGGCTTTGCATCTTGCACTTCACAAATGCTGAAGGCAAACTAGATCCTTCACCCCTTGCTTTCCCTGAACTCATCATAACACTTTGCTGAATGCCTGTGCAGATTGTTTACCTTGTTATGAAAACTGATATGGATGAAGTCTCTGTACTGCAGTCCTGTTATTTTTAGGATGGATCCAAAGTGAAAGTTATGACGATCACTGCCCGTTATATCAGAATCTGTTGGTCTGTTTCTGCARCTAACAAACACAGAAGAGAAAAACTTTAACATTCCAATTTTTTAGGTTTCCTTTCAAGGAATCAAACTCAGTTACATTTGCAGAAGGCCTTCTGCCAGAAATCAGAAATGCCTTCTTTCTGCAATTTTGTTTCTGTGAATTTGTGAAAGATTAATCAAGCTTATGTATTCTCAAGAGTGATAGAGTTTAATGCAACAAAAATACTGCTATTGTACCTATTCTTTTTCTAACACTGGTTAAATAGAAGGCAGTCAGGGATTTTTAAGCTCTYGGATCAAACGTACCAGTCACCATTGAGCTTACAGAGTGCAGTATATGGGTTGGTGTACACGTAGTAGGGCCAGCCATAGGCAGCTGCAGCAAACAGCATGTAGTGAGCAGCATTCTCCAGCTCAACATCCAAATCATCTGCCTGCAAGTGCAGAGGGAGAGAAAGGAATCAGACAAAGGGAGGAAGGTGTGAGGCAGCCTGGAATAAAAACTGAACACAGGCTAGTGAAAATCAAGGCATGAGGAAATACACACTACCCAAGAGGAAAACCTCAATGTCTAAGAGGAACTAAAAATAGCCACTGGTATTTCAGGAGAAGGTCTGTGTTTATTGACATAGCAACACAGCYCAAGGTTCTTGGAAAGCTCTCACTGTATCAGTTTCTTCCAATGCTAATACATTGATAAACTCAATGCTGAAATCCAAATACCTTACCGACTCATGCGAAAGAAGAAAAATGTTCTGAGCACAAACTCAATAAGCTGTCTTCACTGCATTTACTAGTAACTTATTTTGTTAAAAGAATAAACAAAATAAAAACTCAACAGAGGGAAGTGCATTTCAATTTGATCTGGCACCTTTTCCTAGAATAATGACACCAGAGGCTGCACCAGATAGGTCTTACCACAAGAGAAGATGGAGAATGACACAGGACTTCTTCAGGCTCTTTGGGACAATTTTCCATTTTATCTTGCTCTTGATGGAGCAGAATCAAGCCAGCTGCTATGTCACTTGGCACCAGATCAGTGTCCTGTACAAAGACATGGAAGACTGTGTAAAACATTCCACACCTCAGCGTGGCAGAGCTGTCTGAACACAAGCCCAGCTCCCCTCCCCCCGTACAGAGAAGTAGTTTCGGAAGAGCTCKGCGATGCTGGTGAAAGCCACACGGTGATCATCGTCCTGCACGATGCAGCAGCACAGCAGGCGGATCCTCTTCTCCCACACCCTGGTGGCAGAGCTCTTCACGTTGTACAGCAGCTGCCCCGACTGGCTGCTCTCCAGGTTGCGGCTCACACCGTCGGGCAGGTAGAACGTCTTCTTCCCCCCGAGCGGGTCAAAGACAATGACAACTCCAATGACAGTAAAGATGATGATAATCCAGCTGCCAAACACAAGGGAGAGGGATAACAGACTGTGAAACCAGATATTTCTGTCAGGGGTGCACGGAATCACAGCTCCAGATCCTGACAGATTGAAAACTAAACTGGGTATGGAATCCCGTATGGAGACTCTGCTGCTGTCCTACGGGTGCAGGTCTGGGGACTGGGCTGGCAATACCCTGGGCACCGGGGCAGGGCTGTCAGCTCAGTTCACACAGAGTACCAAACCCAGATCACAGCCCTGTGCCTTGCAAGCAGCAGCCCAGAGATGTGACAGCTCCATTTCCTACTACCAGCTGAGTGATCTGGTTACTACACCCTTCACATGCATCCCATTTTCTACACTTCCATTCTCCCTCTTACCCTTTCTAATCTTCATCTCCTTTCCTTCACTGTAGGACATTTCTCTTCCAAGTCAAGTAGCTCAAGCTCATTTAGGGAAGGATACCAACTCATTTTCTTTCCACATTACTATCAAGTTCAGATTTGGGGGGRAGCACCTTTACCTGGCAATAACTGTCACAATGATGCCATTTATCACAGTCTTCTCACACTGCACACTGTTGTCTGACACCCACACAGCTCCTACAACAGCCCAGATGAATTCAGGGAAATAGAGAAGCAGGCGAGTGTAAAGTATTTTGGGAAGTGATTTTCTTGGGCCTGGATTYGAAATTGTTCCTGAAATTAGAAAGAGAATTTAAAACAAGAACCGTTCACAAATGCATCTTGAGTACATAAAATCCTACCTGGAAATATGAACTTTCTGGGCTTTACAGAAAGTAAGAAACTTCACTATCAGCTACTTTCACACTGAAGGAAAGTTATCACTGAAGCTGAGAAAAACAACAATGGGTGTATAGCTGCAATTTTGAAAATTCACTCTACTAAAAYCCAAAACAACTCCAGTCAGAGACAGTTCTGCACTGAACTTGAGGCAGGAGTGCTGTGCCCAGCAGAAACCAACGCTGCACCCAGGAACACCAGATCACCTACAGTTCCTCACGACTCTTGGGGTCTGTTTTTATTATTCTATTTTAGTTAGTTGAATATTTTATTTTCAGATGCTATTCTGCTGGGCTACAATGAAGTTTTTTTAATGGAGTTACTCAATAATAATAGGAGAACAAAAGTAGGACCATTATTACCAGGACAAATACCTCTCAGACCACTTTCTCTGAGTTAAGTTTACCAATAACCACCTCCACTTAGCACTCTTAAGGCAATAAAAAGGGAGTAACTTTAGGCCAGCTCATCTCCTTCAAGCAGTTTGCTGATCCCAGGRCAATGAGGGAGCAGGGTGTGCGTGCTCAGGTGTAGACAGGTAATTTGTAAAGGCTGCAGAACAAAAACAACTTTGTAAACTATGTTCCAATTACCAAGCTGTGGTTCACACCCAGTGACAAAGCTGTTTCAAAAGCCCTCCATGCAGAGGTTGCTTTTTCCCAATGCCAGGTTGCAGCCWGTCCTGCAGCAGCGTGGCTGATTACACACACACAATCAGATGGAACTGTGGTTCCTCTAAACAAAGTTTCCTTTCTCAGCACCACCCCAGGGCTCCAGCCAAGTTCCTGCTGGCATCACGAGTCACCAGCACAGTGAAAGTACTGGCACAAGATCCAGGACACCAAAACCCACACATTACAACCACAGTCCAACACACCTCATCTTTTCTTTTCCTGGAAATTTAGTCTAAGAATGCTTCCACTTCTTAGTTATAATGGCCTTGTAGCTGTACTTTTATACCGAGCAAAGTTCTTTTATCACTGCTATTCACAGTTACATCTCTCCCTTCTCCAACTTTGGTCAGAGTCTGGCACTAATAACACAAGGAAATGGGTCTGACCCCTGTATGGGTCATTCCTTTAAGAGCTGGACTCGATGATCCTTGTGGGTCCCTTCCAACCCAGAACATTCCGTGAAACTTTGATATAAACAGCACAGTCAGCTTGATCTTACTACCCCCTTCCTCTAGGAAACTCTAGGAAAACCTGTGGTCAGCTTCAAGCTAGGATTATCATCCACACCTCTGCTCTGWCAAAGTTTTGTTCAGGCACTCTTAAAATTGCTTAAATGGAAAAAGTATAAATTCTTATTTACAGAAGCATAAATACTTATTTACAGTATGTTATGAAAACCAATATATCAGAAACTGTGGAGTCTCATCTGTTACTCCAGAGACCACACGTGTATTTCAATTTAATCTTCTTAACATTACTTTGATAATCAGGTGCCTCACCAGAAAAAGCTTTCATAGCAATTTTAACCCAAAATTAGCCATTTCTACAAATGATTAGAAGTTGCATTGGGATCCTTACTTCTGTTCAGCCATTCAAGCTGTAAGTCTTGCTCCATTTAACAATACCGCTGTCAGTTTTACTATGACATTTACACAAATCACTTTTCTATGTGTGTTTTTTCCCAAGCGGCCCACTGCATCTAAGGAGCTTTCACAAGGTATGACTAAACCCGCCCATGCAAGGCAGAACTAACACGATACTCCAGATGATTTTGGATGCATTTCTCTAAATTCTGGTCAGAGAGCTGGAGCAGCGTTCCACCAGAGTTAGGCAGAGAGAGGTTTTCACAATGCTCTGATGGCAATGAACCATTAGCAGCACTAAGCTGTTGTTTATTTAAGCAGCTGTTATAAGCTGYATATTTATTATGTCAGATTCCAGACTAACAAAGGTAATACTATTAARGCAAACATGTTGATGTTGATAGAGTATTTCAGGTCTGACTACCATTAAAACACCTCATTTTTTCTGGTAGCTTTTAATGTCAGCTCTGGATTACAAACACACATCCGTTAGAATCCTCCTAGATAAACGCAAAACACCATTATTAATTATTTACCTTGCATACTGATGTATACAAGAGCAGAGAGCGCACATATGATGGAAGCCAGAAGGATGAGGAGGCCGAGCAGGTAGCTGTGCAGCAATCCTCCCCCGGGGCAGTTAAACTGCCCCTTGCGAACCGCATAAAGGACAAGAATCCCGATCCACCTGCCGGGAAGGGAAATAACAACAGTTGGAGCAGGAAGGGGGAAGTGTCTGCTGTGATCACCTGATTGATACGAGAGCGCTGCACAAAGATTAACAGCGAGGAACCTGTTACATAAGGAAAGTGTCAGAATGAAGCCACTACGCGGACACTGAGCAGGAATTACAATGCAGCCGAGTGCAGACCGAGCCACAGGCTCCCTGCATGGTGCTRCTCACTCCCTCCCTCAGATCCCAAAGCGGACACAAAGCAATCCCCGCATTAATTACGAAACCACACGTGCGCTACTCGCAGATTAAACACGGCGGCTGAGGGCGGCCCGGGGCAGCGCGGGCACCGCACCGAGCGTGATGCGACAGCGACCGACAGCAGCCGGGCCGCGGCACCGCTCATCCCGCCGGAAAGAGCCGGGCCGGGGGGCAGCGGCACCGGGGCGCGCCTTACCACACGAGCCTGACGAACAGCTCGAAGGCCCCCGGGAGCACGAAGTCGTCGCTGCCGATGGCCCAGCGGCGGCCGAACACCACGAGCCCCGGCATGGTGCGGGTCCCGGCTCCCTCAGCTCCCTCAGGACCGCTCCAGCCCCGCCTCCCCTCAGGCCTCCCCTCCCGCCTCACCGGGCGGGCAGTGACGTCACACGGCCCCTCCCACCGCGCATGCGCCTGACGGGAGCCCCCGCCCCAGCCCGGGAAGCGCGCGCGCGGGACGGCGGGAAGGCCGGGGGCGCGCAGGGCGCGTGCGCAGTGCGGGTCGCGCGCGGTGACGTCACCATGTAGTTACGTCATCATGCAGTTACATCACGATGCCGTTACGTCATGGCCCCGAGGGAACCGGGCACGGACCGGAGAGAACCGGGCACGGCCCCGAGCTGCTGCCGGGCTGCAGCACAGGCACACTGCTGGGTTTGGATCAGGGGAGACACTGCAGACACCTCAGCTGCAAATCAGCAGTGCCAGGAATGAGAACCAGCCCTGAACAGGGAGCTGATGAGGGCAAATTGAGCTGAGGATCAAACCCACACAAACACCAAACCCTCCTCTTTAGCTCCTGCTAAACAAGATCTCACTGCTTCCATTACTGAGAGCACCCCTGAGAGCCTTACAAACATCGTATTTCAAACAGCAGTGACATTCAGCTTCTCATCCTCACCGCAAACTTTCATCCAGCCCCAGGCACACAGAAAACTTTCACGTTCAGGAATAGGAAAAAAAAAAAAAACCAAAATGTTTTCACCATTTCATAAAGTGTTTATTGAGGATGGTAACACAGGATAAATCATGCAACAGCTCAGTAAAAAAAGGGAATCATTTAAAGGATGAAGAATGGTAACTGGTGCTGCTGATTTTGAAAAGTTTATAAAAAAAATATTAATTGTCCAAAAGTGACATCGAAAACCACTTGAAGCTGAACATGGAAGTTGCTTATAAAGCATTCATTATTAAGAAAATGTAGATATTTTTTAAAATGATCACCCACAGATTTCTGTAATCAACAACTTACAAGTGTCCCATTCCTACAGTTGTAACGGTGGAGCAGGGCTGCACATCCAAGATATTGAACCTTCTCTTGCTGAGCAAACAGCACAGTCACAACATCTGCCASTAAAGAACACCACCACACCTCTCACCTCAGGACCTGGGCTGCCAAGTGCTTCCATTATTGGGATCACCTCCCCAGACTCATGGCAGAACAGGAAAAAGCCCATCCTTGTGGCCTCGAGCCATTTCCTCACTGCCTCTTGCCATCAGTCTGATTTAGAAGGGGAACAACTACAGAATGTGACTGTTCCCCTTCTAGCACCAACATCTATTTTGAATAAGGAACTCCATGTCAGCAGATGGCACAAAGACTGGGCACCAGCACATCACATCAAACATCGGTGGTTTCAGATTCAGAGTTGACATATATTTGCCTTTTGGAAAAAAAAAATAAATATAGTGGAATGAAAACTGAATCAAAGGGAAAGAACAGATGACTACCATCCATCAAGGATGCACATATTTGTGCACTGAAAAAAAAAAAAAGAAAAAAATCAGTCATTTCAAAGAAAATCTTGAAAATTAAAAAAACGTTTGCACTTGTTCCTGGTCATAAACAATCTCACAAAAATCTCACTTTTGGAACTATTCCAATTGAAACCATACACTGAATTTATTAATACAGTATAAGTTTCTTTATGTAAAAAATCTTTATACATAGTAATAAAAAAGATAAAGGCAAGATGCATCAAACAGAAATCTGCTGGTTGTTTTTCCTCCGTTCTTACAGAGCCGCTGATGACTACCTGCACTATAAAGAGCTGTGTTTCTGACTTTCTGTCTCAAGCATCTTCGCCTTTGCTTGTGATAAGGATTGTTCTGTCCAAGCATCCAAAAGGACAGATGCTGGTGATGTTTTGGCACTTACGCTGGCAAACTGAGCTTCTTTCCCTTGAGAACTGCAAGGAAAAGAGGGAAAGAGAATGGTCAGCAAAACAAAGCTGGGATGTGGGAGAAACACAAGCTGTTAAAATTCCAAAGGGACCAGAACTTTCACACCAAATGGGTCCACTGCAGACAGTCCTCTCTCCAATACATAGAGGGAAAAACAGAATTAACAATTCCAGCTTGCTCTCCTGTGGCACCCTGAATTCCCACTTTTCATCCTCATAGCACACACTAGCCCCTGACCACAGGCTCGTTAACAATTAGGACTTAAATAACACAGCCCCATGCAGCTTTGWGGACACATGATGGAAGCTGAAATGTCAGTAAGGGCAGAATTGTTAATGCACCCAGCAGAGGTGTCTGCTTCTACTCTCAGCATAAACAGAAACATCCAAAATACCGAAACTTTTATAGTATTTAAAGCACTGAGAAAGGTATTTGTAAGCACAGGATCTCCAGGTAAGAGTGAACGTGGTCATGGGAAGCAGGAGGATCATGCTTATCCATGGAAGGCAAAAGCAATATATATTCAGCCACATTTAAGTTTTTCCAAAAGTTCATCAGCCCATTTATACATTTGTATTCTACCCATACCCAAAACAATCCTCAGAAATGCCCCACACTAGCAGAAAGTGTACTCCATAAATTAAGGGGATCTCAGCACTAATTAATGAGATCATAATGCCCACACAGCAGATCCCTATGAAGCTGTTAACTGCCACATTCCACAATCTGAAAATGAACTTCCTGCTCTACTCACCTTTTGTAACATACAAATAGAAGAAGTCACAGTACAGAACGGTCTGAACCACACCAGCAACAACAGCTATGAGGTCAAAAAACCCCTCAAAGTAGTAGCGCCAAATCCAGTTGACCAAGTACAAGGCACGGTACAGACCCAAGAAAAACAGGTAGTGAGTAGTGATGGTCTCTGCTTCCCCGGTTTTGCTGATCATAAAAAGTTGAGGGAGAATAGCAACCGATTCAAGATAGATGGAGAAGGTCCACAGAATCTGAAAGGAATAAAAGSACAGRTATATCTGTTATTACTGATAACACAAGGACAGAAAATATTTGACTTGGCTTGGCTTTTCACTCTCTAACAATGTGATGGATGAATACCCATTCACACAGGTATGGTATTTCCTTGGCACAGGGAAAAYRAAGGGAAAGGCTCAAAATCAAGCAGAGGATGGCAGGAGGRAACTCTCCTGGCAGAGAGCAGACCCCAAAGCAGCTCTGTCTCTGCTGAGCTGGCACACACAGCTTTACTTGKGAGGGAATTTGTGTGCACCCAGCTCACAGAACCATGAAACACAGAGCCTGTGCTGGGAAAGCTGCAGCAAAGATGAAATTCTTTTTACCCCACAATATTCTTCCATTTTTTATCAATTTGTTTAAAGAACCAGTTAACGCAGAACAGAATTTAAAATAATGTCTCAAAGTGTTGCAATTCAAATTCCATTACTCTAYAATAAATTCATTTAACCCCAATATAAAAATGCAGCTCATTCCACTTGAAATAAGCATCTGAAGTTACTCTCTATTTTGTAGGAAAAACTACCTGAACTCTCTATAATTACATTTTTAATATAACTACTTTTTGCCATTAAACACATAGTTGCATTTTAAATACAAAGCAATTCTTTTTAATACTCTAGACCATTTGCAATTCTATAAAATTGAAGTAGTAGTATAATTCCTTTTGTTTTCACCAGGTGGCACCAACTATTCACAAACTGCATTCCTGGGGATTTTTTTTCAGCAAACAGAACAAAAGGAATTCTGAATTAATACAGACATGTGGGAAAAACACAGTCTTCTGTGTTTTTTCTTAATAAAATAATCAATGCTGGTAACAGTGCTGGTCTCCTGAGGTGCCTTCAATTTGCACAGACTGAACAGAGACACCCTTCAATCATTCACAGGTCAGGCTAAAAATGTCCGAAATATTTTAGGGAAAAAAACATCTTTTCCTGTCCACAATCAACTCACCTCCAGAGGGGAGAAATCATGATTGACAAGGAAGGAAAGGCCACCAACAGGAACTATCAGAAACTCCACTCGGAAGGTGTCGTGGTTTCCATCATAGGTGGCCTTGAACTTCATGTAGATCAGGTACACGGTGGCGTACGAGCAAGCGATGTAGATGAGCTGAGAGCAAGGAAAGGAACAAAAAAAAAACCCAAAACAATCCACAGGGGTTCCAGGATTAAATCACACTCCCTGAGTAAGCACTAAGAGGAGTAAGTGTGGTATTTTTTGGTTTTTTGCATTGTTTGTTTACATAGTTTTGCAGGCTATTGGTGATGTTGTCAGCAGAGTAATAATCCAAAATCAGCAACTCTGGGTTTTGTTGCTTTGAAGGCATCATCTGCCTCTGGTTGAAGGAAATGCCCAAAAGTGAAGAGACTTTCCTGAGTAGACATAACTAAAGAATTGACTGGAGAAAGAWTACATTTTCTACAATTACAGGGGAAGCACCAGCGACAAATATTAAGGTAAAAAATGTGCAGATGCATCCACACAACAATAATGGAAGGGCCCTTTCTACATCCAAAAGCCCAGTGTGGTGTGGCTCATGTGGCAATTAAAAAATACTCAGTAAGCTCCATTCAGACTGAGCCATTTAACATATCACAAACTCATGACTTGCTTCAGACCTTTAAGCATCTCTAAAACATGAAAAGTGGCAACTGGACACTGTTCTCCACCAACCAGCACTGCAAAACTCACAATTGAGAGAAGCACTGAATCAGAGTTCAGCTTGTGCTGATGTCTAACCTTTCTGATGGTTCTGGCACAGTAGACTTCATAGCTGTTACCCATGGAATGAGCAAAAAGCCTCATTTWACAGGTGTGGAAACAGAACCAGAGAGAATCTAAGACTTTCTAAAGGTCAATCTGCCAGCATCAGGACAGAGCTCACTGTCCTGGAATCAACACAGTACAGCAGACCAGACAAATATTTCAGCTTCTGCCTCCGTTTCATCACAAAGATTAAATGTTCCAATCCATTTATCACATTAAAAAGGGTTCTTTGCAACAGAGAAGTAACAGATTAAAAACCCCACTGTTTGCAGATGCTATTAATCACTAAATGCTCTGCTCACAGATAGAAAATCCTACAAATACTCTATTAAGGAGCTCAGAATCCAAAGGCTCTGCTACACGAGCACCCCAGC